CCTGCTGACTTGTGAAACACACTGCAGGCCTTTACCAAAATTCCATTCTTGTGGACTGGAATCCCATAACCAGAGAACTGTCCCAGGTTCTGATTTGTGTCTGTAAACTGTTCCTCGGGGCTCTGCTTTGGAGGTCAGCTGTACTGACATTCTCAGAGCCTGGGGATGTGGGATGCCAAGGAGGAAAACAGAGAAATGACCCTTGGGGAGCCCCCATCGGTTTGAGTAGGTTGGCCTTTACCTCCCCCTTCCTCCCTCCTCCTTCCTCCCATCTTCCTTTCCTTCTCCCTTCCCTCCCTCTGTCCTGTCTCCTTTCTCCTTGGTCCCTGTCTCCGTCTAACATAATCCGGTCTGGCCTTTGAATTCATTATGTAGCTAAAGATTCTGTAGCCTCCTTCTTCTGAGTGCTGGAATTATAGCAAGTTGCTTAGTTTTATCTGATGCTGAATAGGACCAAATAGAACTCAGGGCCTCGTGCATGATAGTGAAGCACTATTATCAACAGAGCTGTATCTCCAAACCATGGCCTTTATTTTCCAGTGCTCTACTTTTTGAATCGATTTTCTCTCACATGAGAAGGCAATTCAAAGGTAAATGGCTACAAGCCAATTCTCACTGTCTTCTAAGTAAAACTGAAGATATTATTTGTGATACGCTGGGTATTCTCCATCAAACCAAGAAAGGTTTGCATTCTTCCTCTAGTATGTGTTTGATATAAATATGTACACTTTCTTTTCCCTGAGAAACTCTAAGAAGGGCTGACGTTTTGTGACACCCAAATGACTTTTTTGGATGCTGCTTTCCTTCAGGGGCATGATGCCATGAGATAATGAGGCAAGGCTTTTTCCTTTCTTTGGTTTCTTTGCTTTTTCGATAGTGTTGAGCAATGGACCCAGTGATTCTCACATGCCAGGCAAGGCTCTAGAGCTGAACTATACCCCAGCCCTACTTTTTTTTAAGGGTCCAGGTTGCCCCTGCTGGTCTTAAGCTTGCCCTGTAGCGGGGAACTTGCAATCTCCTGTGTCAGCCTCCCACATAGCTGGGATTACAAAGAGCTTCGAGCTTGTTCCGGCAGAATTTACTCTCTCATGTGTAACCCAAGCCTCTGCATTCCTCTGCTGCTCAGCACCATGCCAGAGGCTTAGCCTAGAGTCCTCTTGCTTGGGAAACTCATTCATGAACAGGTGTACCTTTCAACCTTGTACCCACTTGATGATATTCTCCAGAAAGACTGAGAATTTTTCCTGGAGCCACTTACAACACATACAGAGACTGGTGGTTCTGGAGAGAAGATCTAGTCCACACCCTCTCCCTTTCCCTACCCAAGCTTATTCTCCGAAAGTCAATGCACTATGTTCCCTGGAAGGTCTGAAATCAGATGTCTCTTATGCTAATGTTTAAGTAAGGCCAGATGTGGAATAGAAATACAATCTATGCTGCTTTCACAGTCACATTATGCCTCTGGTTTTCTGCAGTCTGGATAAAAAGATTTTTCTCTAGCAAGCAGAAACACAGACACTCCAGCCCATTTAGGTAGAAATATTGATGGAACCAGGCATTGAAGGGCTGGGGGTGTGGATCAGTTGGTAGAGTGCTCCCCTAGCATGCATGTGGCTCTGGGTTCCAGCGTCAGCATCACATAAACTGAGTGTGGTGAAGCATACCTGCAATCCCAATGCTGCCAGGTGGAGGTAGGAGGATCAAGAGGTCAAGTCCAGTCTCAACTATGTAGAGTTCAGGGCACACCCTGTCTCAAAGACACAAACAAGAGGAAGAAACAGAATCACGGAATAAAGCATGACTTCATCCATGGGCATCAGCTGTCCTTGGAGTGCAGGAGTAACTCTCCAGGATTTGACGAGCCCTTGTGGCTGGCACTGCTGGCTAGAGTGTCTGAATGCAACTGCATTCCAGAGTTCCAGGCCTACATCACAGTGATGAAATAATACAGAGGGTTCTTCAGGATGGGGCAAGAGATTAAGATGTAAGTACTGCTCTACCTCTTGTCATCCCACCTTGTCAGTCACACCACATGCTTCAAGCAGCTCAGTCCCTCCCTTCTCCAGGCCTCCAATTATTTCTACCTCCATTGTATTAAACATTTGCTGGTAAAACTCTACTCCACATGTAAGTGTTCTGTACTGACCAGAGAATGACCTATCACAGATATGCTTTTAAGTCAGTCTATTGAGCATGTAGTAAAAGAATACATGGCAGGACTGGAGGCATGGCTCAGTGGTTGGGAGTGCCAATAGCTCTTGCAGAGGACCGGGGTTCAGTTCCCAGTCCCCACATCAAGTGACTCAACATCCACCTTTAAGTCTAGCTCTGGGGGATCCAATGCCCTCTTCTGACCTGAGAACTGTTGTTTTAAGCTGTATCAACCCGAGGCTGATCATGATGGTCTGAAAGACAGTCAAGACACAGGTGGTGCCAGTGGACAGGCCTCTGATGGCTTTAAACTACTAAATATAGAAAAATTATTTATATGCATTTATGTTCTGTCAAGTTGGAGGCAAAGCCATACAGAAAAAGAATGTCTTTTTGTTATTTTGAGAAAGGGTCTTGCTATGTAGTATGTAGGCTGGCCTGGAACTCGTAATGTAGTCCAGGCTGGCCTCAAATTCCTAACAATCCTCTTGCCACAGCCTTCTGAGCACTGGTACACAGGCATGTAGCATTACACTCAGTCAAGATGTCTTTTAAAATACAGTATTTTGAACTGGAGAGATGACTCTTTGGTCAAGAATTCTTGCTGCTTTTCCAGAGGACCCAAGTTCAGTCCTTTCCAGCATCAATGTGAGGTGACTGTGTATAACTCCAATTCCAGGGGACCTGACACCCTCTCTGGCCTCCATAGCACCAGCACCAGCACAGGTTCTCTCTCTCTCTCTCTCTCTCTCTCTCTCTCTCTCTCTCTCTCTCTCTCTCTGTCTC